TATTCAGCTGAACCAGCCAGGCTAGCTAATAGCTGCAGGGGAACAAAAAATCAGAAAATATGTTCAGTGTGTGGGAACGAAGGGAAGATTCATTAATAGAGACAAATTCTACTTTGTCTACCCAATTTGAACTTATCACTGGGCCATTCTTATTATCGGTCTATCTGTAACCCTCTGTTCTACCAACCTAGTTCAGCTCTCATTTCTGTATTCACTAGTGTACTTCATAATGCAATTTCTTAAGCAGTATAATAGATTTTGGGTTTACTGAAAGTGAAAACTTATATACTCTGAAGTGAGCAATTGATGGAAACCTCAATGGTGAGGGGTGTTTGTAGGAAGGTGAGGAAAATGTAACCAAAAACTTGTCCTTGAGGATTGTTGTAAACTTTGGATAAATAGCATTGTGGATAAACTCTATTCCTTTTCTCTTTTTTTGTTGTGGATGGCTGTCAGTGCTTTATTTTTCATTTATTTGTTCATTTACTTTTTTTATACATTCATTCATTCATTCATTCATTCATTTGCTTGTTTATTTATTTATAGAAGCATTTATTATCTCTTTCCCACTGCCCTGTACTGAACAAATTTTATTTTATTTATTTTAATTTATTTACTTTTAGTTTTCAACATTCACTTCCACAAGATTTTGAGCTCCAAATTTTCTCCCCATCTCATTCTTCCCCCCACCCCAAGATGGCATGCATTCTGAATACCCCTTCCCCTAATCTGCCCTCCCTTCTATCTCTCCCTCCCTTCTCTTATCCCCTTCCCCTTCTGTTTTCCTATAGGGCAGAATAGATTTCTATACCCCATTTCCTATATTTCTTATTTCCCAGTTGCATGTGAAAACAAATTTTTGTTTGTTTGTTTGTTTTGGCTAGGCAATGGGATTAAGTGAGTTGCCCAGGGTCACACAGTTAGTAAGTGTTATGTGTCTGAGGTTGGATTTGAACTCAGGTCCTCCTGAATCCAGGGCCAGTGCTCTATCCACTGCGCCACCTAGCTGCCCCAACAAATTTTTTTTAACATGTGTTTTTAAAACTTTGGGTTCCAAATTTTCTCCCTTCCTCCCCCCCCACCCTCATTGAGAAGGCAAGCAACTCAATACAGTTTATACATGTGTAGTTATGCAAAATACTTCCATAATAGTCATGGTGTGAAAAACTAAGTGTATTTCCCTTAATCCCCATTTATTCTATTAAAAAAGAAAAAAAAAATCCTTATAACAAATATACATAATCCAGGAAAAAAAATATATTCCCACGTTGCCCATATCTAAGAATGTATGTTTCTGCATTTTAAATCTATCACCTTGTTAAACAGGAAGCAGGTGGCGTGTTTTATCTTCAGTCCTCTGGCTATAAATCATTTCACACAGCCTGGAATTCTATTTTCAAGTTAAAATTTAGTTATTGCTGCATCTTATGTTCAAATTGTAAAGTCAAAATCAAAATTTTTCCAAAGCTTACTTTATTCACTTCCTTGTCCATCACACCCAGGAATGAATTTGCTATGTACCATGGGAATAACCAGAAGACACATGCTTAAAGCCATTTCTTCATTTCCATTTTCTTTTTTGTTGTTGTTCAGTCATTTTTCAGTCGTGTCTGACTCTTCATGACTCTGGGGTTTTCTTGGCAAAGATACTGGAGTGGTTTTCCATTTCCTTCTCCAGCTCATCTTACATTTGATGAAACTGAGGCAAACAGGGTTAAGTGACTTGCTCAGGGTCACACAGCTAGTTTGAACTCAGGAAGATGACTCTTCTTGACTCCAGGCCTTGCACTGTATGCTGGACCACCATACTGCATATATATAGTATTACATTAATAATAATATGCTATAATAATATATGTTATATATAATATGTTATTATGTTATATATAATATATACTATGCTATTACATTATACATTATTTATACACACACACACACACACACACACACGAGCGAGTTATCTTATGCTAAAGCAAAGTCAAATGCTCTTCATCATTCCACACACTCATTTTCCTCACTTTTCTATTTATACTAGTGGTATCACCATTTTTCTATGTGTACCTGCTCCTCCCCTTAGAGGTCATATTTGACTCCTTCTCCTTTGTTGTACTCCATCTCTAATTATTAGGCAAATCTTATCAATTTCGGTATCTCTTGTATCTGCTCCCTGCTTTCCATTTCCATAGCCATTAACCTAGTTCAGACTTGCACTACATGACACTTGAACTATTTACTTAACTTCCTTTTAAAGTTTTATTGGTAACTTTTGTTTCTATATCACCTTACTTCCCAATATATACATCCCCTCCTCTTCTACTTAGAGAAGCTTATAACAAAAAATTGCTTATAACTAAAAAGAAAAAAGAGAAAAAAAACCCAGTTCAGAAAAACTAATCAACATCAACCAAATCAGACTTTTTTTTTTATAGTGTTCCAAACTTAGAGTCCTCTCACCTCTGCAAAAAAGGGAAGGAGGTATATTGTCTTATCTCTTCTTTGGTGCCAAACTTTTCACACAGCACAGCATTATAATAATATAATAATTATAATAATATAATAATCACACAGCATTAAGTTTTGATTTGTTGTTGTTTTTCTTCTATTAACTCTCTAAATAAGAATTGTGAAGTTCTGCTTACTTCATTTTGTATCCATTCATATAAGTCCTCACTCATATTTATAGTTAATTATGGAGCAATAATATTTCATTAACCACAATTTGTTTGACCAGTTCCCAAATATGTGGGTATCCATTTTGTTTCCAGTTATTGGTCACTTATGTGATAGCTTTCTAACTTACATCTAGTCTGCTGGACTAGATTAATCATCGTGTTACCAAATTAATCTTCCTAATACATAAATCCTATCATGCTACTTTCCTACTCAAAAATCTAATGCAGCTCCTCATTTTCTACTAAATAAAGTCCAAACTTCTTAATCTTTTAGAATATATTACTAATCTACTTTCCCAGTCTTAGATGACAAAATTGGGTCACTGTTTACTTTGCTTTCCAATGTTAGTGCTTCTGTATATGGCATTGTATATATACTACATCTTTCACCTTCAGTGACCTTCTCCCCATCTTTAGGTATTGAAATTCTACCCAGCTTAAATAACACCTACACCATGAAACCTTCCTCAACGCCCCCCTCCCAGTTGGATCTCTTCTTCCTATCAACTCTCATTGCATTTTCTTCAAACTTCTCATGTACGTATCTTTTACTTTGTATTATAATCACCTGTGTGAGCATCTTATCACTCTTACTAGATTATAACTTCTTGAGGTTGGGAACTATGTTTTATTTGATCTTTGTATGTACCTTGCAAATAGCAGGTACTTCGGAATTAATTATTGTATTTAATGAATGAATGAAAAAGCATGCATGTGTTTACCATGTGCAAAGGATGAGGGATACAAATGGAAAAGTTCCTGCTCTGAAGGAACTCATATTCTAATTGAGGAGACAATACAACATAGGAGATTTCAGCCAGAAGTTGGATCCCATGGTTCTTAGGATGCAACAGCAAAGCAGAAGGTAATGTATATTCTTTAACAACATTTCTGTTGACAAAACCATATCTGTTTCTAATGTTGAACTATTTGGCAGTCCCAAGGACCTTGGGGTTGAGAACTTTCTTTTGAGGACTTTCAATACCTGTGGCTGCTGAGGACACAGTTTACAGCCCTGCCGACTGGTGGTAGCTGGTCAGTAGTGGGAGGTGGCAGTCCAGGTAGCAGCACTGGTTTGACTTGACTTGCACATGCTGCCACCCGTCTCTCCTTCAGAGTGCCTTGCTGCTTCAGGAAGGTTGGCTTGCCCTTCCTGTGGGCAGTTGATTGGTAGTTGTTCTTGGGAAGGGTTGCCTCTTTGGATGAAGGTTGCTAATGCTAGGCTAAAACACAAGGTCAGTTGCCTCGAGCTCCTGGGCTTACTTGTGCCCATTGGTGGCAGTTGGTCAGCAGTAAGTGTTGGTGGTGACAGGTGATGGCTGTGGAGGTAGGTCTGGAAGCGGGGTCAGTGGTTTGGGCTATTCTCAGGGTTCTTTGGGGGTCTGAGGAGGGGGGTTGTGGTGGTTTAACTTGCGTGGCACATAGACATCATCTACATGAATGGCATCTTTGTGTATAGGAAAATAACACATTTTAATCCAGAGGACATGAGTTAAAAATCTTAGATTTCTTACTCAGCTACTTGGGGTAACATTTAAAGTCTTTAGGACTGAGTTTTTCTCATCTGAAAAAAATGGGGGGGGGTCAGGATGTGGCTAGAGATCTCTAAGGTCCCTTCTAACTCTTATTTAGAGTAGCATTCTACTCTACTTACAATTGCAATGGTATGGGAAGTGAGGTAATTAGCAAACAGCAGGATGTACTGGAGTGGGAGTCAGGATGCCTGGATTCTAATCCCAGTTTTCCAAGCAACCTCGCAGACAAGTACTTGTTCCTTTATCTCTAAAATAAAGGTTGGGTGATTCCCAGAGACCCTTCCAATCATAACACTGTATGACTCTCTCTTTGTCGCCCTATAAGAGGTGTGCTGGTAAATGTTTAACAGCTGGCTCTCTAAAACGCCGGCCACACTTTGAAATTTACCATTTTCGCCATCACCTTCTTAAATAGAGACAACGAACAAAACAAATAAATCTAGTTCTATTTTATATCGTTTGTGGGTTTCCTAGGTGTAAATGCTCACACCGAAAATTGAACAATCGAGCAGGTTCGAGGTGGTTCCAGCACACTCCTGCACCACACTAGGAGAAAAAAAGTCCTCTCCCTGGCGTTCCTGGGGACTGAGTTCAGAACTGCTCAGCACCTTTGAAGCCCTGGGCTGACGTCATCGCCAGCAGAGAGTTGGGGGTGTGAGAGAGCGACGGAAACTGGCCAGCGCGTCATTGGAGGGGAGGACAAGAAGGCGGAGCCACGGGGCTTCCCCGGCCCCTCACTGCGCACATGCGCACTGGGCCTTCACTTTTCACTTCCTCTTCCTTTTCTCTCTCCTTAGGCTCCTTCGAAGACCCCACAGACTCTCGCACCTCTGGCTCCGCCCGCCTAGTTTTTCCCGCCTTTTCGGGCCTCGGGGTGGTTGCCAGTGCCAGTTGAGGGAAAAGGGCGACCCCCATCGCCTCACAAGCCAGATCCTTCAGGTGGGGAGCAATCATCCCAAGTCTCCTACCGCAGATGACCACAGACACTGCCGAAGATGCTCCACCTTAGAAAATGGGCCCTTCCTTTTTTTACCCTCCTAAAACATTGTTATTTTCCGAAGTTGCATTTGGGCCCACCTGGAGCCTCAAAACCAGTAACCTACCCTGGTTTTGTATTTCTGGGAACTTAAGGCAGCTACCTCCACATGGGGACTAACCCCGCTCATTTAGGAAGTTAATTTTCAATAAGAAGCCAAACTACTTTACCAAAAAAAAAAAGTTACAATTTTGGTTATTTTATGACAGGTTTCTCATAATTTACTTGTTAAGTTCTGCCAATATAGTTATGGGGGTGGGTGAGGGAAAGACCCACCTTATTCTGTTTTGTTACCTATTTCCCCATAAGGTTTTGACATTAACCAACATAGACCTGAGAGATGAAAGGGACCAGTAAAAATTGTTAGGCATTTGGATCAACCCTAACGACAGCTCTGCCTGTATAGATCAGGGCCTAGCACTTTGGATGTTCTCACATTTTCTCACACATTTAAAGACTGTCCAGAACTCAGCTTCTGTGCTTTTGCAACCTTACCTTTACTTTATGCAGTCTATATCCCAACCAAACTACACAATTCTCTTTTCACTAAACAGACTGAGCTATTGGTAACTTCAGGCTAAGGCTGTTTCCTATACCTTGAAGCCCTCTTTCTGTTTGCCTGTTGATTCTTACGTATTATGTAAATCTCAGCTTTGAGGCTACCTCTTCCAGGAAGGTTTGCCTCATCCTTTATATAATGAACTTCTTCATACCTTACATAAGGCTTTCTTTTATAATTTTCTAATACTCATAGGTGATATTGTATAAAATGGCTACCTGTATTAGTGCTTTATCTCCCTATTAAACTGTAAGTTTCTTAAGGACCTTTTTCTAAAATTTCTGTTTTCCCCATCACCTACCACAGTGTTCTGTGCAATTAGACTTTTAATTTTTTATGTATTTTCTGAACTTGTATTCCAGGATGGATTGGTTTCACTGTAATCAATGCTTCCGAAAAGATGGCACCCATTTCTTTGTAACCAGCTGTGGCCATATTTTCTGTAAAAAATGTGTGACTAAAGGTGAGTAACTGACATGTTTTTGATTCAGGTAGTAATACTTTCACTTAGGAACAGAAAACAATTAGTCTCAGGTGTATTAAAAAAAAGTCCATCTGTGAGATTGTAAATTTTAATCATTTAGATTGGCACTCATGATGGACCCTTAAACAGAAAACTCAATATTGTAGACAAGCCACTGATTGTAAGAGCTTCACAAGGTTGAGGAGGCGAGAAAGGGAAGAACTATTCTGGACTTAATTTTGACCTATAAACAAGAACTGCTTATGTAAAAATAACAGAAAACTTGGGAAGTACCCTCTTAAATAGTTAGTGATAGAGAAACAGAGGAAATGTGGGCTTGATGTGGCATGCATTGTGGATTTGGAAGAACAGATTTCAAACAGTTTAGAGAAAGGATAGGTAGACTCTCATGGAGTAAAATTCTACTGTTGGACCCCAAATTCTCAAGAACAAATTCTCAGTGACACAAAATTCATGATTTGAATGAGGAAAAAAAGGGAACTTTTAAAATCAGGAGTTCTTAATTTGGCATCCATCAACTTATTTTTAAAATATTTTGATAACAGTCTTTTTTTGTTTTTAACATAACTGGTTTCCTTAATGATGTTATATATTTTATTTTATGCATTTTAAAACATTCTGAGCAGTGGTTCATTGGCTTCACTAGGTTGCCAAGGTAGTTATAATTAATCAGTCAATCAATAAACATTTATTAAGTGTCTACTATGTGTCAGGTATTGTGCTAAGCTTTGGGCACAAAAAAGTCAAGAATCTCTGGTCTAAATCAATCAGCTAATAAGCATTTATTAATCACTTACTATGTGCTAAGCATTATGTTAAGCAATGTGGCCACAAAGATAAAAGTAAAACATACCTCATGGAACTTACATTCCAATGATGGCAGCAACATATATATATATATATAATAAGCATATATAGATTATATACAAAATTAATACAAGGTAGTTTAGGAAAGGAGAATACTAGCAACTGTATGGGTGTGTGTGTGTGTGTGTGTGTGTGTGTGTGTGTGTGTGTGTGTATGTATGTGTGTGTATGTGTATATGTAAGCCTTAAGTTTTCATCACTTGAGCTGAGTCTTGAAGGATACCAGGGATTCCAAGAAGTAGAGATGGGAGGGAAGTACTTTTCTTGTAAAGGCACGGAGATAGGAGATACTATGTTTGGAACAGGAAGCAGGCCAGTATGGCTGGCCTGTAGTAGAGGGGAGTAATGTGTTAAAAATAAAAATAGGAGCAAGTAGGTGGCTCAGTGGATAGAGCACCGGTCCTAAAGACAGGAGGACCTCAGTTCAAATCTGGCCTGAGACCAAACACTTGACACTTACTGCTGGGCAAGTTACTTAACCCCGATTGCCTAAAAATAAAAAAATAAAAATTAAAAATAAAAATAGCTAGCATTTATAGAGTACTTTAAGGTTTACACAGCACTTTACATATGTTCTCACATTTGATTCTCACAACAACCCTGTATTTGCTTTTTTTATACCTGTTTTACAGATGAGGAAACTGAGGCACAGAGAGGTTAAGTAACTTGCTTAGGGTCATAGAACTAATAGTGTCTGAGTTAGGATTCGAATTCAGAGCTCCTTAATTCCAAGTCCCATGCTCTATCTATTGTGCCACCTAGCACACTAAGAAGACAGAAAAAGTAGGAAGGGACCAGGTTTTGAAGAGCTTTAAATGCTAAACAGAGAGGTTTATATTTGATTTCAGAAGTTAGCAAACTATGGCTTGAACGTCGTATCTAGCCCGCTGCCTGTTTTTGTATGTCTGAAAGCTTTCCATCCTTAGCACATGGGGCCATTTAAGAACAGGCAGTGGGCCACATTTGGCTCTTGGGCTATAGTTTGCCAGCCCCATCATCCTTGCTTTCATGGAAGAGGCAGCTGCAAAGAGGTAGAGTGATTCCCCTTAAGGTCACACTGAGTGGCATAGTTTGGGAAGACAGCTTATTTTTAAGCATCTGTTTGGGGGCCAGTGTACTTTATTTTTATTTTTTTTAAGAGAAGTTTTTTTTATTGATGTCTTCTATTTCTTACATCATCATAGTTAATCCCAAAGTTCTCTCCTCTTCCCTCTCCTATGTCCCTTCCTCTCTCCCTTTTCTCGATAGCCATAAAACAAATAGTATTTTTAAAGAGAAAAAAAAGTCAGCACAACTTATGAATAATTTGAAAAAAATCTGAAAACATGCAATGTGTAACACTTGTGTGTCTCTTACCTCCACAAAGGGGTGGATTGGGGGTGTCTTCTCATATGTCTTCATTTCAGTCCTCCTTGATCTTTATAATTCTGTTACGTTAACTTTTGATTTTTCTGATGTGTGTTTGTTTTTTTCCAGTTACATTGTTATAGTTATTGTGTATGTCATTTTCTTGGCATTGCTTATTTTATTCTGCATCAATTCATGTAGCTCATTCCATGTTTCTTTGTATTCATCACATATCATTTCTTACAGCACAGTAATAATCCATTACATTTATGTACCACAGTTTGTTTAGCCAGGTCCCAAATGATGGTCATCTACTTTGTTTCCAATTCTTTGATATCACAAAAATATTTTGTTGTATATAGGGACTTTGTTATCAATGACTTCCTTGGGTTATAAGTCCAGTACTGGAGTCTCTGGTTTAAAGGATATGGATGTTTTAGTCCCTTTATTTGTATAATTTCAAATGATTTTCCAAAAACATTATGCCATTTCACAACTTCATCAACAATGTATTAGTGTGTCTATCATTCCACACCCCCTCCAACATTGACTTTTGCCATTTTTTGTTATTTTTCTTTTTTTGCCTATTTTCAGGGTGTGAGGTAAAATCTCCTAATTGTTTTGATTTGCATTTCTCTTATTATTAGTGATTTGGAGCATTCTTTCATGTGGTTGTGAATACTTTGCAATTCTTTTGAGAGCTTTTTGTTTATATCCTCTAACCGTTTATCAATTTGGGAATAGCTATTATTAGTCTTACATGTATTTATTAATTATTTCTATATCCTGGATACCAAAATCTTATCAGAGAAATTTGACTCAAAGATTTTTTTCCCATTTGACCACTTACTTTCTTATCCTATGTGCACTAATTTTGTCTGTGCAGAAACTTTTCAGTTTCATATAATCAAAATTATCTATTTTATCTTTTGTAATTGAACTATGTTTGGGTAAAAACATATCCCTACTCATATCTGGGAAGTGTGTGATCTGATTTTCTTCTAATTTTTTATATTAATGATCTTTAATATTTAGGCCATGTTTAGAATGTCTTGTGGAATATGGCAGAAGGTATTGGTGTAAACCTAATTTCTGCCTGACTGCTTTACAGTTTTCCCAGCAATTTTAATCAAATAAAGAGTTTTTTCTTAAATAAATTATGTTTTCTACTTTATCAAATACTGGGTTATTTAGTTCGATTGTTTCTGTTTCTCCCTTGTCTAATCTGTTCCATTGATCTGTCTCTGTGTTTTTTAACCAATATCAGATAGTTTTGATGATACTGCTTTATAATATGCAGTTATCCTTTCCACATAGCATGGTTAGGGGCATAGCATCCCTGAGATCTGGAAAATCACATAAAATTTTTTGGCCCTCTTTTCACACTAGAGAAGAAGTCTGAATTATTATGGTAACAAAAGATAAAATAAGTTGTTATTATACAATATTATACATGTATTTTATGCATTTTTTAGTTTCTAGAATTTTTATTTGTCATCCGCTGGCCTTTGCTTATCGTTTGTGGCTACTGTAAAGCTCCCCCAGCATTCCTGTTAATTTCTTATGCTGAGCCCTGATACGTCGAAACTGTGATGGGGAGGGTTGTGATGTAGAAGGGATAACTCGTTTGAAGACTCGAAGTACTGTTTCCTTTTCATCCTTACTTCTTTTCATACTTTCCCTTAATATTCTAGATCTTTTGTTTTTCCAAATTAATTTTGTTATTGTTTTTTCAAGTTTAGTTCTATAAAGTATTTCCTTGGTAATTTGATTGGTCAGGTATTTAAAGTGTACATTACTTTTTCTAGTATGGTCATTCTTATTACTTTGGCTTGGCTCAGCCATGAGCACTGAATATTCCTCCAGTTATTTAAGTTGTTCTTTATTTCCTTAAGGAACGCTTTGTAATTGAGTCTGTATAAATCTTTTGTGTGTTTTAGTAGGTCAGTCCCCAGATATGTTATGCATTTATAGGTATTTGAGGTAGGATTTCTTTTTCTATTATGCCTCTTGGGTTTTATAATTATTATATAGAAATGCTGTTGATTTTTTGAGAGTTTATTTTGTAATTTTACTGAGACTATTAATTGTCTCAGCATCTTTCCTCCTTCCTTAGTATTTTCCAAGTATCCCATCATATTACCGGCAAATAGAGATAGTTTTATTGCCTCTTTACCTATCTTTATGCCCCTAATTTCTTTCTCTTATATTATTGATGTTGCTAGCATTTCCAGAATAGTATTAAATAATAGTGGGGAGAAAGGACATCCTTGATTCACTCCTGTATTTATTGTATTGTATACATTTATATGTATTTCTATTTCATATGATGGTTGCTTTTGGTTTTAGAGAGATACTTTTAATATAATCTTTTTTTAAAAAAGTCCCTCTATGCCTATACTCTATAAAGTTTTTAGCATAAAAGAGTGCTATACTTTGTCAAAGGTTTTGTTAGCATCTGTTGAGACGATCATGTGGTTTGGCATGTTTTGGTTTTTAATATGATTAATTATGTTGATGGTTTTCCTATTGTTTAAACCACATTTGCATTGATGAAAATGTTAACAGTGCCAGACAAAGCACGGCTCCTTGAAGCTCTATATTGAAAATGTCCTTCCAATTAATACCAAATCCTCCTAACTTGTACTATTGTGTAACTAGAGGTGGCTAGTGGCTCAGTGGATAGACCAGTAGGCCTGTCGTCAGAAAGACCCGAGTTCAAATCTGCCCTCAGACACTTAGTAGCTTGTGACCATGGACAAGCC